CAACAACACCAACACCAGTGACTACAACTACTACAGAGAGAACAACACCATCAACAACCACAACAACACCAATGACTACACCTACTACAGAAAGAACACCACCACCAACCACAACAACACCAATGACTACACCTACTACAGAAAGAACACCACCACCAACCACAACAACACCAATGACTACACCTACTACAGAAAGAACACCACCACCAACCACAACAACACCAATGACTACAACTACTACAGAAAGAACAACATCAACAACCACAACAACACCAACACCAGTGACTACAAGTACAAGAACTACACCATCAACAATTACCACGACACCAAACCCAAATACCACAACTACTACAGAGAGAACTACTCCACCAGCAACAACCACTACTTCTACCACAGACGAAGGTAGCACTAAGGTCACCTCTACAGGCACCAGTCCAGGAACATCTGGACCTTTCTCCACCACTACACCTAGAGCCCTAGCAACAATGCCTGGAAGAACAGAACAAGGTAAGCTATCTACACCACTCATCATGCTAATATTTGCCATTTTTCCACTGCTTCAAATCTCTACCTGCCATTTGTTGACGTGACACTTGTGGCCTAAAAACAGCAAGCAGGTTCACCTGACCTGCGGTTGTACTGGTCTGTGAGTCAGGTCAGCCTTCAAACATCTGATCCTTATCATCCTAGTGGTCCTACGTATGAAGGTGAGGGTCTCCTCTGAAGGTCTGCTGTCTGATGATGACATCAGCACTGAGGTCTTACAGTGGGTGCGTTCACCTTTTTAACTTTATCGTTTTTGAGATTGCAATAAATGGGTTAGATAGTTGTCCAAATTATTGACAAATGGTAATAACTTTTAGTCTAGGTATTATTAACAGTGACTGACAACAGCCAAAATAAGAAGGTTGTGAAATTAGGTAAACAGTGGACAAATGGATAAAAGACAGCCAAGGTTATTGCTTAAAAGTAGAGGAAGAATGTTAGCTATTATTTCTAAAAGTCAGTCCATAAATAGCTTAAGACCAACTGGTTAATAACTAGCACCAGTCAAACATTGTCCTAAAGTTCTTCACACTGCTCTGAACTGATTAACAGTGATGCTAAAAGAGGCACTAGTTCTAGCTTGAGTCATTTTAACCCTTTAGTTGTTTTTTGTCCTGAACTCACTCTGTGTTGATTTTTTTAATATATATGTTTGAGATCTAAAATCATGGTAAAAACTCACTCTGTTTTCTGTTACAGATTCGTGTTCTACTGATAGGGAGGGAGGTTCCATTGTTCTCACTCACCTCTGTGAAGGTGCTCTGACTGTGTAGAGGCTGCCAGCGCCTCTCTTGTATTCTGGTTTTTATTTATTTATTTTATTTTACCTTATTGAGCTGTTATTTAGTAATGAAATTGTGGTATATATTAAGAATTTTTAAGTTTTTAAGGTCAGATTCTTTCTTCATCCTCTTTTATCTCCCTTTGTGTTAAATGTGGAGAAATGTGGGTTTTTTAACGAAAAATTAACAGTTCAGTTTGTTATGTAAAAACATTTAAGTAAATGAAATAAACATTAATTTAAAATGTTTCATTTTTTACGTTTTCTATGTCTTCGTTCGCATTGCCCTCTTGTGGCCAAGGCTGTTAACGTCACCCACGAATGGGAAAAACAGTCCACTCTCCGGTGTCAAATTCCATAGAAAAACTAGCAGTGGCTGAACGGCTAATGTGTTCCTGTCAGTGGTGAATTAAGTACACTAACTACGTACTTGAGTGAAAGTAAGCTTATGTTAAATAATTCTCCAGTATACAGTATTCACTTTTTCCACTTTCACTTTTTCCAAATTTCCACTTGAGTAGAAGTATAGAAGTATTAGTTTTTAAAGTTGTTATGCATACTGACCACATGAGGCAGAAGTGAGCCCGCAGTCGCTGTGTCCCTCTAAGCTAAAATCACTGATTTTCTTTATGGACTTTGGTGTGGACTGGGACACTGAGTCTTTCAATCTCTCACTTTAAATAAAGTATTGGACAGATTTTTATGATATTGCAGAGTCTAATAAGACACACGAGACAATAGTCGTTTTTATTAGTTTTAAACTTCATACCTAAAATACATTCACTGAACAATTCATAACCAGCACTGCAGCTGATGTTTATCTCTGCGTTATTTCCTCATACCAGCACCACCGTCAGTTTCTCTTTGTGTGGTGTGAAATGAATGTAAACGTCTGGGTCATTTACTGTCTAAGCCAAGAACATGACACTCACGCTCTTTCTGCTTCTGATGGCCATCGGCAACAATCAGGGGACTCCATTCTTTGGGACTGTGATGACATTTGACCCCAAGACGATCAATAATGGAAACATCACGGTACGTTTAATTTTGGACATGCTGTTAGAAATACAGCAAATGAATTCTGTTGTCAAACATTTGGCTATATTTTCACCATAGAATGTCTGAATACCCTTGACTTCCTTCAAGAAGATTGTTGAGGATTGTTCTGGTTCAGTGTGGTTGTCATGTGTAGATGTTAATGTTAGTGTTAATGAGAGAGTCAGTGAATGAGATCTTTATGATTTGGTCTTAGATCAGTTATTCCTCTGTCTCTTAGTTTGTTCACTATGAAAGAGAATTCTAAGACAAGCAAAAGAAGTTTAAACCACTCATTCCACCATGCCCAACAAAAGTCCAATAAAACTCAGGGGTTTTATTTTGCAGAGACACAGCACTTGTTTATCCACTGCTACACGCATCACTAATTACAAATGTGGTTTTTGTGTGTGTGTGTGACTTCACTGTTTGAAACCTATTGCTGTACCCTAAGCAGCAGTGAACGAGCCGTTCCTGTGTCACTCCAAAATTAAATCACTGACTTTCTCTACAGACCTCAGTGCTATATAAACTTGTTTGAAATGTTCATTTAAAATTCTGCCTGAAAAGAAATAAGCAATCTACTCAAATGTATTACTTGGGGATCTCTACGTATTTGAACAGATATATATTTTAGATTGACCTTAGTTATGCAAACTGACCACAGGAGGCAGAAGTGAACCAGCAGTTGCTGTGTCCCTCTAAGCCAAAACCACAAGACATTGCGATTGTTTGGAAAAGTCTTTCCTAATCATTTCAACTGCAGGTGGTTTTCCGATACAAGATGACGTTCCAGAGCTGCAATGACTCAATTTCCTGGAACTGTGAAGACTGTGAGATCATTACTTTGGTGGTGAACACAGTCTTCAGTGAGAGCAGTGGACAGTGGTGTCAGAGAGAGGGAGTCCTGACTGCGTTGCCTCGCTCTGACCCTATGATCCTCAGGTCAGTTATTCAAAGAACACACTGTCCTAGGGTGTTTGATTTGTTTAGCTGTAATGAAGGTTGGTCATGTTATACTAAAGCAACAGTTTATCACCTACAGTGAATTTGTTTGGCAGTGTTTGGCTGCTGCGGACATACACAGACAATTAATAATATTACTACTGCAATATTGAGTGAAAATATTGCAGTAGTCCAGTAGGGATGACTTGTTGTGTACAAATGGAAAAGTTATATATACAGAGAAACGTACATGGAGGTATACATTTACATTTGGGTGGAGGTATATAGATGGGTAGAAAATACAAGCAGCTTTCCAAAAAATAATACTTAAGAGCAGTCACTCCCAACATGTAGTACAAGGACCACTAGTGGCATTTGTGGGCATTGTAGGCATATGCTGAATTTTGCCGTATGTCATATGCTTATTATGCATATACTTATAACAAATCAGAATTATTATCTTTTATTGTTTTTACTTTGCACTGAAAACATCTACAGACTGGAACTATTGCTTACGAGTAATTAAAGTATTATTCAACAACCACTGAAATCAACTTCGATGTCACACCCAACATTCCTATGAATGTTGTCACACAGGTCAGTCGGTACCAAATACCAAATTACTTTCTGCGTCAAACTACAGCGGGGTTTAGCTGTTATTGTAAAGGTTGGTGCTTCCCTTTGTTACTGGACACAGTACATGTTAGCTGACAGCTGCTGGTGCAGTGGTAGGCTGAAATTCCACTCTCCAAAGCTTTGGCAACAGACTTCCTTCCAAAGTTGATGTCGCTGACTTAATCACACGTTGCTGTCTATGGTCAACACAGAATGAACGGCAGTGCCTGGATAAGTAACAACAACGGTGTTGACACATTCCGAGCCTTGACACTGGTGGATTTGAACACACGATCTGACACAGGAAAAATCAACAAATCACCTCAAACCACCACGCTGCCAGTCCTGAGGTAAGACCTGTTAAGACCTCTGCTCTGTTTAAAGAAAGCATCCTCATTGTTGGCCACGTCCATGTTCTGTAAATTATAAAGCAGCGATGTATTCAGCGATCTTCTCACTGCTTGTGACGTCTCAGAGTGACTATGACCTCTCCCCAGGTGAGATAGAACGTAACAGTCTAGGTCCAACAACCTTACCCACCAGTACCTGTTACTACTAGTCTCGCCACATTGTTAGGTTCCACAAATGTCATGCTATTTCTTAAGATTAAAGAACTGTAAACACACTGGTTTCTCTTAATGTTTTTCCTCAGAGTTCCTTCAAATTGTCCCAGACATATTAGCCTGTTAGCATTCGACCCTGAGGGAGATGTGGTGAAATGCAGATATGGCACAGAAGAGAGTAATGAGTGTGACCTCTGCACACAGCCGTCCGTTCTCCACCTCACACAGGTCAGCAAAAGCCAGTTCATGAGCTTTTTTTAACCCATGACCTGCTCCACTCCTGAGGATCCTCATCATCTCATCTCATCTTTTAGGAGTCATGTGGCTTGTCCTTCAGTGGCACCAACAGCAGTGCTGAGGGGCTGTATGCAGTCCAGCTGATGATGTTGGACTCCCCAAGGCAAGATATCACCATAACCACTGATTTTGGGCCTGTCCTACTAGACTCCAACAGTAATATCAGTGAAATTCCTGTCCAGTTTACCTTTCAAGGTGAGATGTCCCTCAGTCAAAGTCAGAGACGACAGACGATGTGGTACTACTAGGATTATGTGCTAGTATTTATTCATATTCATGTTTTTATTGCAGTTGATCCTGCAGTGCCATCCTGCACAGAAGGGCTTTACTTACCTGGGTTTCTGTCTCCCACACCAGCCAACAGAGCTCAGTTTAACACCTCTGTTGGCCAGACCATTGAGATCAGGATCAAGGCCGAATCAAACATGTCTACGTGAGTCAACGGAGAGTGCTGATAAGTCAATTTATTTATGACTTTTTTGTTAAACTAAATGTTTATTAATTTATTCAGTCTCATAGTCGCTCTTTGCCCACATCATCCTCAGACTATATTAACGTCTACTTAGTAAGGTGGATTGAAAAGCATCTAAGCCCCATCACTTCCTGTTGTGTAAGGATCTTAGAGCTGCTGTTCAGTGGGCCGTTCAACATCAACCAGGCCATGTCAGCACCAGGGGAGTTCATCCTGAGCTGGACTCCATCTTTCATTGAAGGTGGAGAACACCATCCCATCTGTTTTGTTGTCCAGGGAGTAAATAAGTCAGTACTTCACTCATTCTTCTGACTATTAACTTCAGAAGAAGCAGAGCTAACATAAACCGCTGGAACTGTTTGGTTTAATACAGACTGCTTCCATTTCATCCCACAGCGCCACCAAGTATCATTCTGAGATGAGATGTGTCATTGTCAATGTCAACGTAACAATTGGTGAGAAGTTTCTGCTTTTGCTTTTTTGCTTTTGCCACAAAGGTTTATTTTTTGTTTTTGCCACAATAAAACCTGTCAATTTCCTTGTTTTTTTTAGAATCTACAACTGCAGTGACACAAATCTCACCTGTATCTGAGGTCAGCAGTATCATACCAACAACACCCGCAACTCCGACCAGTACAGAAGGAACTACAACACCAACAACAACCACTATAACTACAACACCAACAACAACCACAATAACAACACCAAAAACCACTAAAACAACAACCCCAACAACCACAAAAACAACAACAACACCAACAACCCCTATAACTACAACACCAACAACAACCACAATAACAACACCAAAAACCACTAAAACAACAACCCCAACAACCACAAAAACAACAACCCCAACAACCACTAAAACCACAACACCAACAACAACCACAATAACAACACCAAAAACCACTAAAACAACAACCCCAACAACCACAAAAACAACAACAACACCAACAACCCAAAAAACAACAACACCAACAACCACTATAACAACAACACCAACAACAACCACAATAACAACACCAAAAACCACTAAAACAACAACCCCAACAACCACAAAAACAACAACCCCAACAACCACAAAAACAACAACAACACCAACAACCCAAAAAACAACAACACCAACAACCACTAAAACTACAACACCAACAACAACCACAAAAACAACACCAAAAACCACTATAACAACAACACCAACAACAACCACAATAACAACACCAATAACCACTATAACAACAACACCAACAACCACTATGACAACAACAACACCGACCACCACTTTAACTACAACAACACCAACAACCACTATAACAACAACACCAACAACAACCACAATAACAACACCAAAAACCACTAAAACAACAACCCCAACAACCACAATAACAACAACCCCAACAACCACTATAACTACAACACCACCAACAACAACCACAACACCAACAACCACTATAACTCCAACAACCACTATAACTACAACACCACCAACAACAACCACAACACCAACAACCACTATAACTACAACACCAACAACAACCACAATAACAACACCAAAAACCACTAAAACAACAACCCCAACAACCACAAAAACAACAACCCCAACAACCACAAAAACAACAACCCCAACAACCACTAAAACCACAACACCAACAACAACCACAAAAACAACACCAAAAACCACTATAACAACAACACCAACAACAACCACAATAACAACACCAAAAACCACTAAAACAACAACCCCAACAACCACAAAAACAACAACCCCAACAACCACTAAAACCACAACACCAACAACAACCACAATAACAACACCAAAAACCACTAAAACAACAACCCCAACAACCACAAAAACAACAACCCCAACAACCACAAAAACAACAACCCCAACAACCACTAAAACTACAACACGACCAACAACAACCACTATAACTCCAACACCACCTGGACCCCCCCCTGTGGTAACCACAACACCTACGCCCAGCAGCACAGTAAAAGGTACTGTATGACCTTCTCACCACGTCACACCTCAGCAGATTTCTCGTTCTCAGGTTCTATTCTTACAATTACAATCTATTCTTATTCTTTCCAAAAAAAGGAACAATAATAATAATAATATTAGTAGTTGACCATCTCTGATCTCTGTTGCGCTGCATTATCCTTTCTTGGCTGCATGTGGCGAGATCAGGCCATAGAAGAGTGTATGTTCCTGGTTGTTGGGATGGGGGGGCTCTCATTTCTTAAAGAACTCCAGTTCTGAGCCCTGGCTGACAGAGGGGTACTAAACTCGCTCCGACAAACTGAGTGTAATTCAAAGCAAGCAGTTTAGGACACACACCTTTAGTCTAGTGACTCGCACAATTTCCACTGTCTGTAACTCTGGAGCAGTGAGGGGCCTGTACAGATGGATGAGCTGCTGCATTACTCCAGACTTCTACCAATGGCCACCTTTAAATGTCAACATTCATGTGTTTCCAGTTGTTCTGCGTATGAGGGTGAGGATTTCCTCTGCCGGGTCACTGACCGTTGAGGAGATCAAGAACGTCGTCCTCCCCCAGGTCAGTGCCTTCATCTTCATCATCATCTGGTGGCGCTGAAAACGTCAATGAACAGTATAGAGTTACTTATACATTAGCCAAAAATGGCCATGACGAGTGTGACATGAGCAACATTAGCAGCTAAATTGACTTAAATATAAAAAAATTAGGGTTGAACCGAATATTCTGCTACCAAGAAATTTCTGTCAAAAAGGCCCCAAAAGTGCATTGTCAGTTTTCGGTCGTCAGACTTTTAACACACAACACGACCTAAACAGGATGTTGTGATGACGACAGCAAAAACCGGTGAGATCTAATCAGATCACCACACACCATCACGACTGTACTTGATCTGCATTATAAAGATTATTACTTGTATAAAGCAGCGTGCGCCGGAAAAGATCCAGGCCGCCACAGATGCAGAGAACCCATTTTCGTTTTCAGTTTCTACAAAACATTTATAATTTTGGTGCATCACTAAAAATCTATCTAAAATAGATAAAAGGTTTGTCTGAAAGCATGTTTCAACTGTTTTTTGTTTGTTTGTTTTTTTAGGTTAAGGAAGGACTGGTCAGTTATGGCACTCCATCTGGTGTCAACCTAGTCTTAGTTAATGTGGTATAATAATAATAATAATAATAATAATAATAACAATAATAATAATAATAATGGATACATTTAGTGTCAGTCTTTGAAACCAACACAGGCTGCCACGAGAGGCAGCATTAATTAATTGAACATAGCACTAATGGCTAATGGGTTAGCTACAATGTAGTACAAGTAGATACATGTTACTGTAGCTACCTATGGTATCAATAGCCTAAAATAGCCTTAATAGAGTGTGCATGAGTTAAGAAAACGTTAATAAATACTTATTTTTATATACAGTGTTTATATTTTTGTATATTTGTTGTACTGAGTTTAAAATAAAACATAAAAACTGGAACAATGTTTGTGGTTTTTTTTCTTGAACCTCAAACCACAGAGAAACCAGAGAATTAAAGACAAGAGTCAAAGTTCAGGAAACACTGACAGAAAAAGACATTTTAAGACGTCACTTTTACTTCCGGTTGAGGAGCAGCAGCAGATGCCAAGTTTAAAAACACAGTTTATCGTCAGAGTGTAAACATTTTTCAACAAAACAACTGATAATAAAATTCTGTTTTCACTTGTTTGTGAGAGAAAACCGCTCTAGGATGAAAATGCTCAGGTTTTCTCAACGAGACTTCAAAAACAGACCGTTTTCATCTTTGTAACATTTGTTCAAGAACTATTTTCAGTTCTCACTGAAGGGACTAGTGCTGAGAACCTGGAAGAGCACACAGAACTGTTTGGTTTTCAACTGCAGTGACCAGGTACTGAAAGTACTAGTAAGGTTGAGGAGCACCCCCAAAAAAGTCCCAGCTCCAGAAACAGAACATTCAGCGAGTACAGTAGCCGTGGGTTCTCAGGCTCACGGCACTAGCCTAAACTCCTCTGGACGTCTTTGGTACTGCAACACCTGCAGCAAATTTACAAACCATTCCTGATACACTTCTTAATTCCCAGTTCTGAAACTAGTTCCTAGAGTGAAAAGACACAGTTACTGGTAAAAGTACCTGCAGGGGAAAAACAGTCCCTGGTACTGATATAACTTTGCCCATTCAAGTTCCTCCTGCTCCAGGCTCTAGATCTGTCTGGGCTCCTTTGAAGTAAAAAGATAATTACTCTCTGGTATTGTTCGTAGTTTGTGGTGCTGTCCATATTCCTGGTACTAATCTCTGCAGGAGAGAGAGTCCAGTGTGACAGTGGTGTAGTTTCCTGTTTGTCCACAGGGGTTTAGTCAGGGTCCAGGGATTCGATTCCACAGCTGGTATTGGTTTGACAGTGAAGTTTAGGAAGAAAAAAAATAAACCAAAACAATAAAGTCAAGTAACTCAGCGTTCAGTTTCCCTCCCGTCTGGAAAATTGCACATTGTCGATATAAAACTTTTCTTTACAATTAAAACAAACAGTGGTGAAGCTGCCTTCAACTCTCCACACAATACTGAAAAGTTGTTCTGTGATGGAAAAACTAACAACACTTAGGTTTGTAACAACTTAACATTTGATCTTGGTGTGACTTTTATTTTGACTGTTCCATTAGTCAACATTTATCTGGGGACTAAAAATCAAATGTGGAGGCTGCATCCTGCAAACTCAACCCACAGTTCTCCCAGACAGTCCCACTTATAGAGCTGGAACTGTTTTGGGTCATAGAAAGTCAGAGGTTTTTTTTCTACCTTATACTATAAACCCCTTGTGGAGGTGCATGTCGTTCATGGAACCATCCATAGCATGAACTTTGAGTTCATGAATTGACCAGAGTTTTGAATACTTTTGAGTAAATTGCAGTACTTCACTTTGTCGTTCTATCTAAATTATAATGGAAGTTGTTTATAAAAATTGTGCTTTACCTTTACACACCTGATATTTACATTTTAAATATTAAATTATTAAAGCTGCAAATTTGACAGTTAATCAATTTTTAAAAAAGGCAACTTCACTGGTCATAGTATAAAAAATACACACAAATGTACTGTACATGTAGTAAAGAGTGAACAGAAATAACAATAATTTAACAAGAACGTCCTTCAGCTGAAGCAGAACCCAGTAGTGAAGCTGAGTTCTAGTGTGTTGTAGATCAGTAAACAGTTCGAATTCTTTCATGGCAAAAATAAATACAAATAATAATCTGTGGACAAAAATCACATGACCCACACATTTTCCTGCCAAAGATGGACAGACAACATCATTAATGCTAACGTTAAAATAAACGAATAATTTACAAAATGAGAAAAATGAGAGTGGGCCAATATTCACTGAGGTTGACGATTATTTCTGGGTCTGATCCCAGGATCGCTACCAAAAAGTATTCCTTTAGTTCTGATAAACATTTGGGAAAATTGCATCATCAAAATCATCAGAGATCAGGAGGGGGAAATCAGTGCCAAGCTGTTAAAGCTGTGTTTTGGACATAGATCAGGAAGAAAACGAAAATCATTAAAACAAAACTGCACAAAACAATATCTTGGTCTCGGTCATCCTTGGTCACCGTTACTTTCAGTATTTACGTTTCAGTAAGTTGTTTGTGTTTCACAGACAAAAAAAGTCTCAAGAGAAAATGCATGTGCCACAGCGCCACCTAGCTTAAATACTATTGAGACAAAAAAATCCCTTTAAATGCACCATTGTTATAAAACAAAAACCAAATATACAGGTAAATAAAACACAACAGGCTTGAATCCCTCCATGTTGAACCATCAGGGCTCATGTACCACTAATCACTATGGAAAATATTCACTGAATGGTCAATTTACAGCCAGATTCAACTATGTAGAGTGAACAAAATATGTTTGTAGTTTATCATATGAATCTGTGAAATTGTTTTAAAATCAAAGTCTTTATCTCCAATCTGCAGCAGGGCTGTGAAATGAACCAGCTTCAGAAAAACCTCTGAAGATGATACACTTCAATCAGTGTTATATACAAAAAAGATTGTTTAAAAAACAAACTGATGCTGGTCGTTGAAACACTTTTCACAGGACACACACACACACATATATATATACACACCGTATCTGTAGAAAGTCACTCACACACACACACACACACACAGGGTAAACCTTTGTGGTACTCTGTGGAGCTCAGACATCGTAGTCAGGCAGGGCAGAGTAGGAGATGCCTCCGACGGATGGAGGGTTGGAGTGAAGAGGAAGAAGCCAACAAAACACTGAACCTGTGGAGAAGGTGCAGCCAATCAGCTTCTTCAGTCTTTTTCTTATTTGTATATTATTTAAATGATTATTATGTAAAATGACCGTACATTTAGTCGGAAGGTTAAATAAACATGAGCTGCATAACAACTGTCAGACCAAAAATGAAAACGAAACGAAAAGGTCTCCACTAGTTAGCCATAATGAGTCAAATACAGAAGCTGTTTAAAACGTAGATTAAAAGATAAGCTAAAGGTTAGCCTGGACATAGCTGCACAGCTACAGTAACAGAAAAGAAGCTCAAGGGTGACCTTTAAAGGTTAAAGCCAAGCTAAGGGAATTTGAAGTAGAAAAAAGTTATTTAAACTTATAATATAAAATAATTAAATTAATATTGGCCTAAAATTAGCCAAAAAGTACCTGAGTGGACCAAAAGGCATCTTACTATTCCCTGACTAACTTAAAGCTACTTAGCTTTAAGTTAGCTTTAAGCTACTTAGCTTTAAGTTAGCCAACAAGTAGCAAAATGAAAGGTAGTGAGAAAAGAAACATAGCTAAATGAAATAGTTAAAATAAGAAATTGTTTTGCTTCACTGTGAAAAATAATTAAATGTAATTTAAAATTCACAATATCATCTTTCTTCACTCAAACATATTTCTGAGGGTTTATGCACCAAGACACAGTGTCAGTGTTTGACCGCACCTCTTCCAAACACCTCCCGCAGCAGAGCAATCTTTGGTTTCCGTGTGTGAGAGGAATGATGGGCCGGCTGTGAGGAGGAGGAGGAGGAGGAGGAAGATGAGGAAGAAGAAGCTCCTCGGTCTTTGATCATCAGTCTATTCTTCATGTGCTCGATGGGCGTCTCGTCTGTGATAATGGAGACCAGCTGAGGGACGGACAGCAGCAGAAAACTCTTTTTAACAGACGGTCAGTAAACAGTGAAAGGAGAGAAACGTCAGCTGCAGAAACAAACACTCAGCAGTATAGACTGTATGAACTGTGTGTGTGTTGGTCGAGTGTGCACCAGTGTGCAGGTCAGTACCTGATCGTAGAAGATGACCATGACAAAAACACCAAACAGCACTGACTCAACCAGCAGGATGATGTAATGAGCTCTAAAAGAAACAGGAAGTTAGAAGTTGGACTGAGAACTGACTCATTACTGACTTGGTTCAGTGAGCTGATACTGATACTTATATGCGACTTCTTTCCTAAATCTAAACAAAATATGTGCACAACAGTCTTCAGTTGGACTCGACTCTGCCACTAGTTTCTGCTGGACACTCACACAATGAGGTGTTTACTGGGCGACTCCTCTCCTTCTTTATCTGCGTCTTCTCTCTCGTTCCTGATCCTCCAAATCCAAGCAGACACAACGAGCATCAGGGAGTAGAGACTGGCAATTCCTAAAACAACCATGAAGAGGATCAACACAACCTCAGATACCATTAACTTCACTCTAACCTGGAAACTGATGTAGTCGCCCTCTAGGGGCAAATTAATTGAGCTACAACCTTGTGTTATTTCTGTGAGATATATTTCTAGTAGGCATTTCTCTCACACAAATGTCCATAGAGAAATAAGGGATTTAAATTCACAGAGAAACCGGAAACACGGCTGCCTCCTGTGGTCAATTATTGTCACTGCGCTAAACCTGAACAAAAAGTGAAATAACAAAACCTAGTGATGGAGGCTTTTGTTGAAAGATACTCTGCATCGTTTCATTCAATGTGATCATTTGGTATAAAATATTTGGTATAAAAAAACAAAGCTAATTTTTTAAGCTAAATATACTCCTTATGTACTTTTGAGATTTACACAAATATTGAACCTTTAGGAGACAAAGAGGAAACTCACCAGTGTAGAAGAGGAACTGGATGAAATACTTCTGGTTTAACTCCCCGACACAGTTATTAATCCTGAAAAACAGGACTCAGAATCAGAGACACCACTCAGAGACAGACGAGACAGAGGTTTGGAGCAGGAGTCCTCACCATGGACAGTGATGGTCCATACGTCGTATACACCTCTGACAGACACGGCAGTGATGAGCCCTGGGAGGTCTGTAGGTTTCACAGCGACTACAGACGGTCCAGCCTTCACAGCCCTGATGGGACGGTCCAGAAGAACACACACCGTCACTGTCTTTTAAAGCTTTTTTTAAAAAAGCTTCTTTTTTTTAAAGCTTTTAAAGCTGTCATGTTTATACATGACAGCTTTATTACCCTCACATACAATCTGATAAACTATTCATTAAATATTAATTGATTTTATATAAGATGGTTTAATGTCATCTTTACATGCACACAGACACACAGACACACACACAGCCAATGAACTCACAAACATATATAGACAAATACACACAAACAGTAGACACAAAGAAATACAGTAACAACACGTTAACACGTTGATGACAGACTGTTATTTGGCCTCAGTTATGTGTAGACCAAATGAACGGTGTCATGTGAGGAGTCAAAAGGAAATCTGGAAGTGAAGCGTGTGACTCACTCGCTCGCTTATTCGAGATGACTGTGAGCGAAGGTCCGAGAAGTCGATGGCTGTGTCTGGAAGGGGAACCATTCCTGCAACACAAGTACACCAAGCAGAACACCTCTCTAACAGTCGTCTTCACTGACTGTATGTGGGGGGGGCTGTCTGTGAGTGTGTGTCTGTGTATGTTTAAGTTTGTTCAATGAGAGAGCAAGAAAAATGAACTGACCAGGATCAGAGAAGACCGCTTTGGAGTGACAGGCCAGGAGGAGCAGCAGGATCAGGTTAAAGACGGATCCATGTAGAGAGCACCACACACTGACAGATACACACACACACACACACAACAATACAACATCCAGCCACACATTAATGATTTATATTTATATATATTCAACTATGTAATTAATATAAACAACATTCTTAAACATATTAACATACATATTTATATATAACATTTTTAATGATCACATACACAGCAATAAAAGGACAAATTCATTGTCTGTTTACACAAAGTGTGGGTGTGTTGAAAAATATTTTAGAATAGATGTCGAATTTGAAGATTTCAACGTTTAAAAAGTAACAAGACGTCTAACCTGTTCTTCCAGTAGGAAATACAAGACATAAACTACTTCCGAAAAGTGATTGAGTTTCAAACGAAAACTTGTCTAATGTGCTTTAAAATTTTCAGCTGAACAAAGGATTAGTTCTGGTTTATTTAATGAACGCGGTGGCTAAAGTTGGAGAAGAAAATGTTATCATTTAATTAATTTATTTTTTTATCTTGATAGGATTTCTTGAATTGTGTCTGAGCAGGGGCGCAGGCTCACTGTTTTGATGCGTCAACAAGTAAACACAAATCATCGCGTCATCTAAAATCTCTTTAAGGCAAACATGTAATTAAAACAACTGACGTCACTGTCAAAATCGCGGTTTTGTTTGGCGTCATCAGAGAAAACCCACATCTCCTGTCAGAGCAGGCATATGAATGGAGACAGGTGCAGGCGCCATGTTTTAGGGCTTTTCAGCCGTTAAAACATATATTGAAACAGAAACACTCACCTTCCCGTGTAGGTGGGAATAAGGACATACTGAATGACCACATAGTCCGCGTAGAATACGCTAAAATAAGTCAAAATCAGGCAGATGACGCCGCACGGGTCTCGTCTACAGCGTAAGGACGCCATCTTGCTACAGGCCCCGCCCACTTGTGTGCGTCTTTCCGCATGACGTCAGTGACAGAATCAGAGACCGAAAGAGGGAGTTAATTAGTCGGGTTTTTTTTTTCACAGAGACCGAAAGAGGGAGTTAATTAGTTGGGGGTTTTTTTCTATTTATTTTTTAATAATTAAACTAATAATTAGTAATAAAATGAACTTGAACTTGTGTTGGGGCTCTTTGCTTTGTCGGTAGTTTCTCTCTGGAATTTTTTGGAACATTTTTCCATCAGAATTATAGCTTTATTTATTTAATAATTAAACAAATTAATTATTACTTTTCATTCCTCGTCTGTACTCAAATGTCAAACCTTTGAAGTAAATTAAAATAAATTGACTTTAGTCTGTCAGATAAAGTCGTTGATTTCCCTCATGAATTCTGGTGTAAGAGTGGAGAGAGAAGCAGAAACAGTATAAGACCAGCAGGAGGCAGTATAAGAGAAAGTATACGACCAGCAGGAGGCAGTAAACACCCGTCAGTGAAATCCTGTGACTCCTCCTTCAGATGGGCGGGCCATACGTCATCTATCTCTCACACAGTGTCAGTACGTGTGCTCGTGCGTGTGCGTATGATTGTAGTTCGCTGGTTTCCTCAGTTTGTCCGTGTCTCTACCCTACAGTCGGAATAACTTCAGTCTTCGTCGAACTTTTGCTGGACTGTCATCTCTGTTGAACTACAAAGTGGGATTAATAGCACAGGAATAGGAAAAAACAAGAAAAAGGAGAAAAAGAGAATACGGGGAGTAGAGAGGAGGAGGAGGAGAGGAGGAAGAAGAAGAAGAGTGAGTTCAGACTCTCTGTGAAACCATGGAAGTTCCTGGTATGCAGGTAAGAGCAAAGGTGCAAAGGCTGGGAGGAAAATGGCCGCGGATTAAAAGAGTCAGTGTTTACCACTGTAATACCACAGTTATTAACGACACTTTAACTGATTATCCTTGTTCGCGTTGAAGTCTGTTATCGACCAAAACTGTCTTCGTCATAGCGATTAACCGACTCTTGGGAGAACAAATATATGTTAACATGGCGTTTTGGTAAAAAAAAAACGTATTAAAAAGTATTAGAATTATTCTTTGACTTCTTATTAAAACCAAAATATGGTTTAACTCAACTCTTTAAAGAATAGCACATTTGAATGTTAGCTTAAATTTGAAATAAAGTAGAAGTAAAAAATCCACTTATACAACTGGTAGTCAAAATGTGGATAAAAATAATAAATAAGGAAAACAGAAAGTCAGCATAGCATAACTACATTTAACCAAACAGGAGGTAAAGGTTAGCTTGGAAATTGGTAGAATTGTAGCCCACGAGAAATTTAAGTTTCAGTAATAACAGTGTATTAACTTAGAAATAAGTTAAGTAGCCATAAGACTGATAAAGGTTAGCCAATAAATAGTTTAGTGTTAGCCGAGATTAAACTTGGAGGATAGCCCAAAGCTAGCCAAACTGCTGCCAAGAAGATAGCAAAATAAAATCCAGGAATGCTTTACTGAAACTTAACTTAACTCAACTTAACTGAAATGTTGCAATTTAGAGTTATAGTGGCTAATACTGTCTTAAATTATGCTTATAGGCTAAGATATTAGTACGTTAACAGATAATGTTATCCAAAAAACTAAAAGTAGGTCGAGGGAGCAGTCCATGATTTGATGCTGTTCCTCCACATGGACATTACTGTGTCTTTATATTGTTATAAACCTCTTGACGTACGTGTGCAGTTCCTTTGCAGGTGATAAATGTGATTTTAGTCTGAAACCAGAGATGAAACTATTCATTTGTCCTTAATTAAAAGAAATTAATTAAAAGTTAATGGTCAGTTTTGACCATTAACTTTTGTTAATGGTCAAAACTGTTATTTCATCACAGCTCAAGTTCTCTGTCTGTGACCTCACACTGACATATCGTTGACCTTTGAACTCCACACAGACTTTGCAATAATATATATATATATATATATATATATATATATATATATATACACAAATATAAGTACACTGACATATTACACAGGCGTGGAGCAGACTGGATTCACACTTGTGTTTTGGACCTAGTCTCAGACTTATACCCTGCAAACTTGACTAAAACTCCTCCTGAAATATTCTCAGTGAGTTGGACTCGACATTTGAAACTATGAATGCTCATTTTAAACTTTACCTTAGTGACTTTCTCTGACTTGAAATCATGGGAACTCAACAGAGACACGTCCCAAACTTCTGTGCCTTGCTAAGTGACCCAAAACACAGCAACTGGACCTGACCCTGACACAACCGTTGCCCTAGTGACTCAGGCATCAATCGGCAGCCATTCTTTCTCTGGATTTGACAAGTTCTTCTTTAGTCACCTGGAGACTGACTTGCTGTAACTTTACTGTAGTGATTTCTATCTTTGTATTTGCTCTATAATCAACAACCCCATGGTCCTACAGTACTCAGGTCTTTGCCTCCTGTTCTCCAGGTTGTTGTCAACAGTCTACTCTCTTACAGGACTCCAGTGTCCCCAGACTGGACCATGTTCTCCACTGGCGTCTCTCTTTAGTGTCTAGACCTGGAGACAGTCACAGGTTTTAGTTTTAGACCATGAAGTCGGTTCAAACCAGCACACACTGTGTCAGACTCTGTCGTAGCAGTTGCCAGGTGTGTGTGTGTGTTTGTGTGTTAATGCCTCTCCCTCACATCAGCCACACCCACCTGAGACAAACAACAGGTCGAGTGTGTGTGTGTGAGAGAGAGAGAGAGAGAGAAAGAGAGAAATGGGAGCAGCCAGTCCCACAGGCTGACACACCTGAGATAAGGACCGACTGATGATCAGAGACTCGACGAGACTAGACAAGAGACTCCACCAAAGACCAAATCTAGACTAGACCTCGGACTATAACAAATATTAGACCAGAGACAACTAAAACGGAGACTAGATGGTGGACTGCTCTAGAAAGTTCATCAGAGAGACTGAATCAAAGGCCAGAGAGACTCTAGAGACATTACATCATTTATTTGATCCAAAAAAAATGCCAACGTTTAGCTACAATTTTTATTTTCAACTATTATGTTTTTAACTAGCCTTGACTGCTCTCACTCGTCCTTTTGGACCAACATTTTGTCATCTTTGTTGCTAGTTCTCAGGCTTTATTTAGACTGACTGAGTCCCTACAGGCCCGATGTCCTCTGACGTCCCTGGGAGAGGACACTAAGGCTTAATGTCCTGTGTCTCTGCTGACCTTTAACCCCTGAGAGGGTAATATCTTCAGCTTTAGCTAAACTTTCCCGCGCTCCTTTGTGTAGCAACGTCCTGGAAATGTAAATCAGCAGTTGGTGGAGAAGCTGAGAGAACAGAGAGCCTCCACAGAAACCGTGATCAAACACTAGGGAGTCTCCTCCTCGCCCTCCTCTTCCTCCTCGCCCTCCTCTTCCTCCTCGGCCCCCTCTTTCTCCTCGGCCCCCTCTTCCTCCTTCTCCTGCTTCTCGTGTCTCTAATTTTCACAGTCATCACGCTCAGGCCTGAAGAGACGAGGCTTGTGGTCCGAGTGTGTGATTATCAGCTCAGTCCAGACGTCTGTGGGCGGAGTCTGTGTCTCCATCATAATAAAACAATGACATGTGACCCTCAACAGTCACAGGGTTTCCCTCATGAATAAAGCTGAAAGAGAGACATTTGAACAAAGGTTTGGTGAAAATTTACCTGGCAACATCACAAATATTTAGATGACGCTGATTTTAACGCCATCTCATTGTTTACCAACAGAACAGTTCAGGAGTGACCTATGTCACTAGAGAAAGTCAGTGATTTCAACTCAGAGGCTGGTCCACTGGAAAATGCTTGGTTTTTTTCTCCCCTCTTTAAACACAAATGAATACTTTTTTTCCTTAAAGGAAGAATTGATGAAAGAAATCTTTCAGAGCAACTTATAAGGAGATTTAAAGAGGTTGAAGTAATGTGTGTGTGTGTGTGTGGTAACGTGTGTTTGTGTAATAACAGAGCTGCTGTTAAATTGACTTCCTCTGACTCTTCTGTTGCTGCTCCTTTTCTCTTACTTTTTCTGCTCTGCTTCGTCCTCTCCTCTTCTCCACGTCTCCCTGTTAAAACCTAAAAGTATCATTAGACAGAGACGGCAGTGTGTGCTGAGAGGGTGTGTCCTCTCTGTGGTCACAGTGTGTGTCTGTGTGTGTTGTGTTCCTTTTTTAGCTTGGGGAGGAAACAGCAGCATCACAGGAATATCTCTCGCTCTCACATACACACACAGTAAAAACAACATTTAGCTTTTCTCACTTCATGTTAAAAGTTTAAAAAAAACAAACTTAAATAATATCCTCCAGCCAATATCCAGTTGCCAGTTGTATCTTTTTGCTAACTTTCAGGTTTTTGGTTAAGGTTTACATCTTTTTTAGATCTTGTTGGCTAACAAACGTCTTTTGAGCTAACTTTTAGCTATTTTAGTTTGTTTATTTTTTTTAGGTGTAACTAGATTGTTGTTTGGCTAGCCATATGTGATTGTGTGAAAATAAAATCTAACCCTTCGGTGACTGCGACTTTCA